AGTCATTATTATAAGTTAAAATAGTTGATGACGAGTGAAACCGTAGTTGTAAGTTTTCCTTTTTAACAACGGTTAAATGGTAAATCGTCATTTTTGGAATAAACCAGTGGCAACAACAACCAACAATGATTTTGTTTAATAGTTCTTTCTAATGTTGGTGGTTTTGAGAGCAACCAACAACGATGACACTTAGAGCAACAATGACTAGCAACGATGACTCTAAATGGGTCAGCAAAAATGAGCTTCAATAACAATGCCACAAAGACTAACAAGGGAGGAAACTACTTTATGTGAATGTGGGTCGAGCCCACACACAAAAATTGCAACCTTGGCACTAGAGAGCCTCGATGGTGCAAAGACTGACAACCTTGAAGGTGCAATATGTGGTAACACTAGTGCAATCAAGGAAAACGACAACGGTTATTTTCGTCCATAGGCAGCAGTTCCTGAACCGAGGCATATACAGGCGAGGCAAAAAGTCTACCCATTTTTGTCTCGGTTGTGAACCGAGGCAAAAAGGAGTAGGATTTCGCCTGAGTTTAAAGTTAACCGAAGTAGTAGGGTTTTTGCTTTTTTATTTTTCTTTATCGAATCACTTTTTGCTCGGTTCCTTTTAAATCGAGGTAGTATTTCACAAAAGTCACCATCAATTGCTACCATAGGAGGAGCCACTACAGTTGTCGCGGGCAAAGGAGGAGCAACCACGTTAAGACGAATCTCCATCAAGGGAGCCACCACAGATGAGCATTCGCAGGCAAGGAAACCACCTCCTTCTGCTTATTTTCCTCATCCACATCCTACTCCTTCTCGTCCAAGGGAGCACCATACTTGGCCCCATTCTTTAGTCCAACACCACTCTTCTCGAAAATCCTACATACCACATACACATCCTTCTCGCCAAAAAAAAAGCCTCACCTAGAATAAGTATCAATAGAACAACAAATAAAAAATATAAAAGAAATAGAGAGAAGATATACCAGCATTGTGCCAGCACGAGTCAATTCTTCGTCGAGCATCTTGTACTCGTGCATGACCCAATTGGTGCAATGGCCATGTGGAGCTCGACCGATGTGGTACACGAGGGTCTTCTTCATCCCCATGGTGTGGCCGCCATGGGCCACAAGGCGGTCCTTTCCAATGGTCTTCCAGTAGCCCTTCTCGGTGGCGCGGTTGGTCCTGGAGCCATTTCCATACTTGCGATCCAACACGCCCATTCCAAGTGTTCAGCTTCAACAGAGCTGAAAAACCAAAATAAGTTAAGAAACACTTTGAATCCTTGGGACCGAACCCTATTCCTAACAATTTGATACCACAAAAAAAGGGCAAAATGCTAATGGGAAAGATCACAAGGCTCAACCGATGTGGTACACGAGGGTCTTCTTCATCCCCATGGTGTGGCCGCCATGGGCCACAAGGCGATCCTTTCCAGTGGTCTTCCATAGCCCTTCTCGGTGGCGCGGTTGGTCTTGGAGCCATTTCCATACTTGCAATCCAGCACGCCTATTCCAAGTCCTTGGTCTTCAGCTTCGACAGAGCTGAAAAACCAAAATAAGTTAAGAAACACTTTGAATCCTTGGAACCAAACCCTATTGCTAACAATTTGATACCACAAAAAAAGGCAAAATGCTAACGGGAAAGGTCCTAGGGCTCGAGCTTGTAAACATCAACCACTACGATGTGGTCGTACCGGGACAGGTTTCTGGTGATCTTGCGCTTCATGTTCAGGTAGAACACCACCAGCTCTTCGTCGGTGGGGTGGAATCGGAAGTTAGGACCCATAGGTGCCATGGATTGGATTCAAGAGAGATGAATCTCTGAGAGAGAAAAAGAGTGAAAGATAATTAGGGATTAGGGCTTTCGTTTATGATTGGTGAAGAGGGAAAATTGGGATTATGAATAAGAGAAATTTTGGGCTTTGGTATGAAATAGGATGAGTTAGAAAGAGAAATAGAAGAAGGTTCTAGGTGGTTGGTAAGTAAACGAACTTACCACGTGAAGAGAGAAACGGTGGCAGCGAGAATAGCAGGTGGTGACGACATCGACGAACGACAAAGACGAAGGCAACGCTGGAGGCAATGAAGGTGAGAAGAGAGGACGCTCAGCCGCGAGAGGGAGAAGTGGAATAGTGGATTCGCGAGGAAGAAGAAAACTTTTTTCGCGTAAATGAAACCATGTTTGCGTTTGTGAAAGTAAATAAACGATATTACCTCGGTTAAGTATACAATCGAGGCAATAACACCCTATCGTATTAGTTAAGTGTACAACTGATGCCTATTCCTTTCAGTAGAGCTTTTATGCTTCGATTTCCAGTGAATCGAGGCATATAACTTTATCATAGATTTTATGCCACCGCGTTTTTATATACTTCGGTTTCGTAGAAATTGAAACGTATATGGGACGTTAAAATTGTGTTTTTTACTAGCTAGGTGTAAAGAGAGAAAATAGGGATGATAAAGAGAAAGAAGTTATACAAAACCGTCATTGTATGTAAGAGTTTTGACAATGATTCTTTATAGAACCTTTGTCATATGTTTTGACAATAGTTTTAACTACAGTTCCTTATTCAAAATGTTGTTAAAATCTTAGCAAAAATTAGATATTGTCATCACGTCTTTGTTTTGAGAGACCACCACTTGCTCTGTTATTTTTCTCCTTTTTACTGTTTTTTTTATTCGAGTGGTGTAGTTTTACAAATAAATTACGAGAATGAGCAGATTCAATTTTTATTAATATTGAGTAAGTCGTGATGTGAGGAACAATTTTAGATAAAGAAATCATGTCACATGAACACGATTTCAAAATACACTAAAAAGTTAAACTAAAATCATGTTTAAGGAAAACAATTTCTTCTCTTTTATTTAATCGTTCGCATGGAAGATGACTTCAATTAATGTATTTACAAATATAGAAAAGATAAGGCAAGGGTGCCAAAGATTTTTCATACGTGGTAACACACTAGTGAAAGAACAAAAATAATAGAGATTGTCATTAAGGTCATAGAAATATGGGAGACGATTCTTGCAATAATTTAGAAAACTGACTAGAAAAAGAAAAGAAAAAATATGAGTGTTAGACTCTATATGTTACTACAAAAAAGTTGTGTAATCAATTACAAAAGTTAAAAAATCTATCGATAAAATATATTTTATTGTCAAATTTTATAGATGAATTATAGAATTTTTTATTATAAACGAATATTTTTCAACATTAAAAGATCTAATAATAAATTAAAATTTCTATTATTGATATTTATCAATGAATATTTTTTATTAACAATGAATATTTTGGTTGATAATGTATTTGCGAATAAATTTTATCAATAAAATATGTCAATAGTTTTTATTACCAAAGAATATTTTTATCAGTAAAATAGGTGTTAAAGTTCTTGTCATGGGTTTCAACCATTCGTACTAAAATTTGTAAGTAATTATTATTTTTTAATTAATTAATTATTTAAACAACAAAATGCGTCGGCAATTGAATTTTAAATTCTTTAGTAAAATGAATGTCAAATTTATCACAAAATTTGATATAATATGTTTTATAAATTAATTGAGAATGAATATAAAAAAGAAGGAACAGAAGAAAGAGGAAGAAGAAGGCTGAAGACAGTTTAGTGACAATGAAAAGGGATAACAACAATGGAGAAAGAGCGAAAGAAAGAGAAAGAAAGATGAGAGGAGAAAAAGATAACAAGAATAATAAAGAGAAAAAAGAAGAAGAAAAAAGTTACAAAATTTTTTTTGTTGAATTATCGATTAACAACAAATTTTAGTTATCAATAATTATCGATGAATTTTTTTTATTAATAAAATTTATAATTATCAACTGTTATTTGATTGTTAATGGTTTATTGATAATTTTGTTTTACAAACAAATTTTTGCTATTACTAACATATTTTAGTGATTGATAATTTTGTTTACAAATAATGTTACCGTCAGTGTTTTGGAAATTTTGTTTCACTGTTACCAACATATTTTATCCTTAATAATTTTGCTTTTTATTGTAACGATGTTACTATATTGAAAAGGTTTGTTTGGTCAACTCTAATAATGATAATTTCTTTAAATTAACACGAACTATTTCAGAGTGACTCTCTACTTGACAAAAAAAATAAAAAATAATGATTAAGATTAGTTCTTTATTACTTTACATCAACCTTGACTAAAATTAATAACTTATTTTGGTGTGGCTTTGCTTAAATTAGTGAAAAGGTTATTTTTGAATTATTCCAAGCCAGATAAAATTGGGTAGAAATCAACATGAATTTTACATTTTAAACTCGAATTCAAATATGCATTCCACTTTTGGTGTGTTTTGTAAAATTAGCTTGTAAGTTAGGAGATAACCCGTAAGTTAGTTGTTAAATTCTTAATTTATTTGTTTCTATTGACGACCTTGACTAATTATTAAATTAGAATTGGTTAGTAAAATCAGTTGATAATAACTTTAAAAAAATATTAACTATACTTTACTTTTATTATATAAATAATATTATAGTTTTTTAGACAACATATATTTATATTTTAAAAATCGATAATTTTTTATTAATATTTTTAGTATTTTTATTAAAATAAGTTAATTTAACTAGTATTAATTAATTTTGAATATTTATTTATTTTTATAATTTTGTATTTCTTAATTTAAACTAGTTTTACAACTCTTATAATATATAACGAAACACAAGTTAATTCAATTTAAATATTTTTTTTTGTTTTTAATTTAAACTATAAAAGAAATAAAAAGTAATCCAATAATATTAAAATTATTGTAATGATTAATTGTATATGTAAAATTAAAAATAGATAATAACAGATAAAAAATAAAAATAATAGGAAAATGTATCATGATAATAAAAAAATTAAATAAGTTAGACACTGAAAAGAACTTAAGTAGCTTGTGGATTTAACATGAAAGTATTAAGGAAAATTACTTTTGAGACATCTTACCGTCTTACCAATTTTTTTACAATAACATCTTACCAAACACATTCTTTACTAAGATGATACTAAACCCTCTTGGATCTGTCTCACGGCCATGTAGCTGAAGATACTAAACCTTCATTAGTCTGCAATTACGCATGATTGATTGGAGATTTAAGTACCAAGTTGCTGCATAACTTTCTGGCTTATTGGTCGTGCTTTACACATAGCTTCCAATGGAATTAGCTTTGGCATTGCCACCCCTTTATTCTCTCTCATATCGATTTCTTCATCACTTGGTCGTTTCCATTCAAAGCACTGAATCAGTAATCCCAAAGTTAAGCCCATAGAACGATGCGCCAAACCTATTCCGGGACAAGCCCTTCTTCCCAATCCGAATGGAATTAACTTGTTTGCTTCCCCTTCTTGTCCAAATCTCTCGGGCTTGAAGCATGTCGCATCACTCCAAGTCTGAGGGTCTCTCTGAATGGCCCATGCATTGATCAACACTATGGTGTCTCGTGGAACAGTGAAGCCCCCAAGAGTGCACTGCTCTGAAGAATAATGAGGCAATAGCATTGGAGCTGGAGAAAACAATCTAAGTGTCTCGTAGATAATGTTTTGAAGATAAGGAAGATTGGGAATGTCTGACTCATCTACCAAGCGATCTTGTCCAACGCAGTTGTCTATTTCATCCTGTGCTTTCTTCAATATCTCTGGATGATTCAATAGAGATGCCATTGCCCACTCCATAGTCACTGCTGTTGTGTCAGTTCCAGCCAGAAGCATACCCTATAATTCAATCAAGTATCTTTTACGAATAGGTTCAGAAGAATCGACGAACGATGTTGAATCGTAGTGTTACCTGAATAAGGCCTTTGATAATATGATCGGAGTAGTACTCCGGCTGCGTTTCTTGCATGGTCAAGAGATGTTCTATCATGGTATTGGTTTTGTGTTTTCCACTGCGATGCTCTTCAAGGAGTCCCTGCAAGAACGCATCAGCCCTGGTGCTGATCGACTTCAGTCTCTTCTCCAAACTGTCGAAATCAAACCATCGAAGCATAGGCAAGAAGTCTCCCTTGTTGTTTGCACCCAGCAACGACATAACCTCCGTGATTATGGCTCTGAACTGCTTCGCTTCCTCCGCGTCCGTCACGTCACCGTCGTCACCGTAGTACCGCTTCCCAGATATCATTCTCATCATGTTGTTGAATGTCATCTCCGTCAGCCTGCACAATCGATTCAGTCTCTACTCGGTTGATGTATCAGATTCGTGAAAGATGCAAATTTTGTCACTTTCTTTATGATCCTTACCTGGGTCTGATCTGCACAAGGGCGAAGCCCTTGCTCGTTTCCCGAACAAGCTTTTGTACGACCCTCATGGTTTCTTCCCTTCGGACTTCAAAGAAGGAGTTGAGACGCTGCGTGGAGAGGACATCGATGGTGATGATGCGGCGAAGGTTGCGCCAGTGGTCGCCGTAGGAGGAGGAGCCCATGCTGGTGTAGTTGTAGAAGAGGTACTTGCCCGTGAGAAACCGTGGCCGGTTGGCGAGAACGGTGTCGTATTTGGTGAAACATTCTTGAACCAAGGTTGGGGAGGTGATGACGACCACAAAGCGTGAACCGAACCAGAGAGAGAAGATGGGGCCATACTGTTGCGATAGGCTGAGGAGGGAGCGGTGAAGCGGTGGCTTGATAAGGTGGAGGTTGCCGATTATGGGAAGAGTTGGTGGATGTGGTGGAAGGTTTTCGAGCCTTCTTCTTCGTAGAAGAAATTTGAATGTGAAAATGGAAGCAAGAAAAAGGAGTGAGTAATAAACCAAAGGAACCATGGGGGGCAAGTTCCTACTTTTACCTATTGCTAGGGTTATGAGTTTGGACACGAATTTATAGCATAATTCCACTTATAACTGAACTTAACTCTTCTTTAGATTTGTAATGGATCTATTAGTGTTTTTCAAGATAAATTTTTAATAGAACTACCAAACAATAAAACACACAATATTCCATAATAAAATATATCCGATAGGTTAGTACATTTGATGTATTAAGAAAATATTGGATTATGATATGAGGCCGTCTTTAGAATATATTTATGACACTAGGTAACGTACGTTAGCATATATTAATAAAGGTAGAGTAGGTAGGTGCATATTTAACTCTTCATTGTTTTGTTTTCATAGAAAAGGGAAGTGTGGATGAGGACAATTACTATCTGATGCTTTTTCTATAACTCAAAATATAGGTGTGTATCAAATTTATCACAGATTTGTCTTTTATTTCAAATTATTAAGATGTGCTTGTCATTATCTCTCAATAAGTTTATTTTCTGATTTCACATAGAAAAGTGGCTTGATAGTGTTGATAACTATTTCATAGCCTTTTGTCAATCTTTCCAGGACGTCTATATATTTGTAAATAACTTATTCGTTGTCAATACTTTAATGAAAATTAAAAGTCTTAGGATATAAAGATGATTTAGAAAGAAAGGTGGAAAAGATAGTGGATATAATAATGATTTAGAAGGAAAGGTGAAAAAGATAATTTAGTAAGAAAGGTGAAAACGATATTGGTTTCGATTAAAACAAAATAGCTAGTAACGTTTTAAAAGCCTTTCTTCTTCTTCGTATCCATATGGATGACGCATTAAATGCACACCGTGCTTTCTATCTTACCATCTCAAAAATAACAATCAACATTACTTATTGATACAATCAACGTCAAATGGTACATTTTTATATCCGATTTAAAATAACTGACATAAAAAAATGTTTTAAATGCCTTATTGTTGTGACTGTCTCTCTTATTCTTAGTGGCAATCAGGTTAGAATTATCTCCTTCCAAGTTTTTTATCATGTTTTTTTAAAAAAAAAAACTGGTGCATTAAATTTTAGTTAAGAATTTCAATTTAGGTCTTTTATAACTCTTATAAAGAAATTGATGATTAGACTACCCTTCGCTCACAAGAGAAGAATGTAAAAAAGCTAAAGAAAATATTTTTCATATAGTCCACATCCATGTTTGAGTAACTAATGCCAATCAAAAGTGATTGAAATCTTCTTTCGTACATATAAGTGAAATTGATTCTAATTATTCATATTAAAATCTCTTAAAATCATGTTTTACGGATATAGTCATCACAAATATGATATTGATTTGACAAATATGACGTGAATTTGATATAGTCGAAAGAGTGTAACATTATATAACATGCTAAATTAGCTCTTTTAATTAAAAGAGCTTAATTGCAAAAAGCTACTTAACGGTATAAAATCAAAAAATACTTTTTGTTCTGAACAAACATTAAATGATATTAAATTTCAACGTTCAAAAACAACAAAAGTCATAAGAAAAGTCATATTGTTGCATGCATAGTTTATTCTACTTTTGCACACAACTTATTCTACACGCATCCATAATGTTATAGATCAAAAATCAAATGTGGACGTTAGAGACAAAAGAGATAATCATGAAATGTTTCTCTCATGAAGCAAAATCTAAAAAAATTGTACAACCTACTTCAAGCAAAGGACTGAAAAAACATGTATGCTCTAACAAAGTTGGCTTAATAAACGGCTGTTGTAAAAAGAAGAAAGAGAAAATACAAGCATCAAGGCTACGAACTACAAACGCTGTCTAACAGACAAATATTCATCAAGCCTATAAATAGAATATCTCTCACGAAGAAAATCAACAGAATATAATAGAGGATAGCAAGTGCGTAAAGCTTACAACACCATATCCATCCTACATAAAAGAAGAGAGAAAAAGAGCTCAAAGAAAATATTATATCTGAGCTGAAGAAAAAAGAAGAGAAAAGAAAAGAGAAAGAGATACTCTCAAGCTTAAGCGTCAAATCTCCTACTTTTGTAAGATCATATAGAGAAACTACAAGTGTTTAAATTGTATTGTATTATATTCATACCCTCTCGTGGAGAGATTTAGTCTAATATGTTTGTAAGCAATCTTTGATTGCAATTTTGAAGATAGTTAAACTACTTACAACTGAACTCTTTTGAGTTGAGGAATCTAGACGTGATACTCTAGTACCAGGAGTGGTTTGAATGAATACTCAAAAGAAATCTCGGCGAGGTAGTTGAGTACTAGGAGTGGTACTAATACTCATTTGTAATCATGTGAAGATTATAATGGAACTCTCTACGGAGGAGACTGAACGTAGCTTAGTTAGAGCGAACTAGTATAAAATCTCTTGTGTCATTCTCTCTTCTCGATCCTCCTAGAAAACTTACAGTTGGACTTTATTTTTTGAAAATATAAGAACCTCTAAGCTAAATGATCCTTATCTTTAAAGGAGGTTCTTACAAACACTGTAGTAGAAAGAATATTTTATATGCTTGACAACATGTTATATCAGAAGGGTTGCAATTTTTTTTCCAAAAACACTATTCAACCCCCTTTCTAGTGTTTTTCAGGTACTTCAATTATACAGTAGTAAAAAAAATGGATTTTAACTCGCGCATTTGACACCAGTTTAGTTGGAACCGAAGCAACAAATGATGCAGTGGCATTTTTGTAAATTTTTGCAAAGGTATATGCCTCGGTTCAAAAAGAACCGATGCCTAAAACTAGCGCGGTGGCATTTTTGTAATTTTCGGCAAAGGAATATGCCTCGGTTCAAAAAGAACCGATGCCTAAAACTGGCGCGGCTGTATTTTTGTAATTTTCGGCTAAGGTATATGCCTCGGTTCAAAAAGAACCTATGCCTAAAACAGGCGCGGTGGTATTTTTGTAATTATTGCAAAATTCTACGACCTCGATTTTTTAGAGAACTGAGGCATAAAGTAACTGATTTTTTTTAAATTTTTTTAAGAAAGTTTAGGCATCGGTTCTTTATAGAACAGAGGTCATAGATCCTTATTGCCTCGGTTAAAAAAATAACCGAGGTGATAACATCTGTTTAGGGTTAAATTTTGCTAACATGCATTTTCAAACAGAAGCTTTTCTCTTTGTGGTGTGCCCCGCTGCTCTCTTTCTTCCATTTTCGCAGCCATCCTCTTCAACTTTTCTTGCTAACTTTCTTTTATTTTACGTTGATTAAGTGCTTAGGTATGATTTTCTTTCGTTTTGACCGATTGATTTTGTGCACAGGTGTTCTTCAGCTCTTTGACTAGACGCTTTAGGATGTTCATTTCGTTTCATTTCAGCCCCAAACTCACCTTCAAGGCTAGTTTCGCTTTAGGTTTTTCAAGTTTTCGTTTGGTTGATTGTTCTTCATACACCATACACATCAAAACATAGGTATATGTAAAACTGAGAGTATGCTCAAACGAACTCTAAATGAAATGAAAATTTGTATGAAGAACCAAAAAATCATGAAATCCGTGCACAAAAATTTTCAGCTCAAAATTCAAAATGTAACTATTTTAAATATTTTTTTAAAGTTTGAAAAAAAAAAACAAAAAAAAGTTTCCAATAAATAGAACATAATGTTTTCTGCGTTTGTTTGTGTTTTTGAAATTTTTTTCATATGGTTTATGTGATACACAAACAATAATTTTATTTAAAAAACAATTACTTTAGACCACGGTTCTGGTAAAAACTGAGGCAAAAAAGGGTCTATTACCTTGGTTTTGAATCCAATCGAGGCAATAGACCCTTTAATTAATTAATTTTAAGAGTCTACAACCTCGGTTCAAATTAGAATCGAGACAATAGACCCAATTTTTTATTTTTTTATCGCGTTACTGTTTCGGGTTTTTTGAACCGAGGCAAAAAATCTTGACTTTTTACCTCGCCTGAATATACCTCGGTTGCAAAACCGCTGTTATAAACCCAAAACAATTGAGGTAATATCCCTTAGTTGCATTAGTGATACTTAACATACACTAGATATGATATTAGCTATTTTGTACATTTACTTAGTTAATTTATGTAAGAACCAACCACATATCATCAACAAGTTTTGCAACACATTCTTCGATACATCAGTAGGTATTGCATCTTCTTATAAAGTTCTTTACTTTCATAGAAATCAAAGAAACAAATCATTGTATCCATATCTTCATTAGAAGCATAATATAGGGCTTTTGCTAGCATTACTTGTGAGCTTAAATGGCTTAACTATCTTCTTCATGACTTGCAAGTTCATTCCACTTCTCAAGTTATCATCTATTGTGACAACTAATCAACTAGACACATTGCGCACAATCCTACTTTTCATGAAAGAACGAAACACATTGATAACGTTGTCATTGACACAATCAAATTAACACTACTTAATTATAACAACTTCAATATTATAAAACCAATAGTTAACCAACTAAATAGGATTAAGTTAACTCGAGTCGTATTCCAATAAATATAAAATTGATTTTTAAAAATTGATTCTTTTATATATATATATATATATATATATATATATATATATATATATATATATATATAAGAAATAATGGGTGAGGTGATTTTATCACATCTTTTTCAATACATTTTAAGAATAAATTATAAATACATTTACATATACATAACTTAAACATTTATTTTATATTATTTAACAATGCAAATAATTGCACACTAAATAAATTTTGATGAACTATTAGGACATGAAGTTGATTTATTGTAATGGAGGGAAAATGATTATATTTCACTAGTACAAAAAATTACATATAACGTCACGCGCGCAACGTCTCATACAAGAATAACAACGTAAAAAATGATCGGTGACAGTTTTGTAAATAAAATAGCCTTAGAGATATTGGCTACTAGTTCCCCTGACGTCTTTATGAACTAAGAAGTCGAGCCCATCATACAAGACGTCAAACCCTATGCCAGTACCTGCCAAATAAGAACTGAAAGGCCACATTTTTAGCAATTAGACGTCAGACATAGTAGAGTCGGACG